GTTGCCTTCTGACACACTTCCGGTGATGTCCGGGGGTGTGGCATATGCAAATAAGTTCTGCTAATGAGTTCTGCTAATGAGTTCCTGCACCTCTTTTTCTACGAAATGACCCCTGTATTTATGTGTTTTTTTTCTCCTGATGGTTTTAAACCAGAGAGCTTGTTTTGCTACCACAGTTCTAAGGAGAGGGTTCCAAAGACGAATGTTCTACCTGCGCCAGGACAAGATGAGGCCAGCTTGCCATTTCATAGTGATGCAGTACGGTCTCCAAGGAGTACACCAGCCCAATAACAATGTGCCAAGAGAAAGCAATACCACAGAAACAGCCACTGCTGTAGCACACAGCTCCTGAGATCCTCTATTGTAAAGGGTGGGCAGAAGGTAACCCCACAGCTTGTTCTCCGTGGCCCGCAAAGAGATTGCTGGTCGCTAGGATTCGGAAACAATTGGACTAGGTAGATTAGACAAATTCACGAAGGAAGATAGGTTCATCAATGTCTATTAACCAGGATAAAACAGAAGTCCCTTTCACAACTACCAACCTTAACAACTACATTTAACAACAACCTTAACAACTACCAACATTTATTCCGGTATGAGCTTTTGTTAATCAGAGCTCACATCTTCAGATACAATGGAAAGAAAGAAAATCATTTATCTCCTTTTTTTAAACAGAAAAATGGGGAGGGGGAAAGAGGGAGGAACTGCGCAGACAGAGTCCAAGTACAATTCTTTCTTCTCACTGTATCTCAGGATGTTCCTTGCCCCCACCATCCCCTGTGAAAAGGCACCAGAGAAGAGAAAGAGGACATAGTCCATTGAATCCTCTTTCCAAAGTGGGTCCCTGCTGTGCACAGGCACTCTGGGAGTGCAGACGGGGCAAGCAGGGCTATGTTTGGGCAGGAACACACAGGAACCGAGTTCCGGCTGGCTTCCGAGCCCGCCCCTCCCCTCCCCACCCCCACCGAAAAGCCCTGCTGTTGCAGTATTTGAGCGCATAGATTTTGCGTCAAAATTTGCTTCTCTTGCAATTCCAAATTCCGCCACTAGATGCCTCTGCTGTGCTTCCCCACTAACTGGTCACTGCAATGCCTTGCTTCTCAACGCCCGCGGACTGAGACCTCTGATTTGAGAAAAGACTGCGTTTGGGGTCCCGTTTAGCTGTGGGACGTTTGCCACATGCAGTCCTTTCCCCTCATTTTGAGGCTTCGTTTCAGTGTACGAAGCAGGTAGAAGAAGCAGGGGTGTGGCCTAATATGCTAATGAGTTTTTTGCTGTTGGGTGTGGCCTATTATGCTAATGAGTTCCTGCTGGGCTTTTTCTACAAAAAAAGCTCTGAGGGCAAGAATAAGTAGAAGAAGGTCTCTGCTGATGATCAAGACACCAGTGTTCCCTCCAGAGGTCATTTCGGGGGGGGGATCGCGGGGGATCACAGTTCCCCAGGTGAGGTACGGGGGGCGGGGCACATGACGAAGCTCCGCCCCCTGCTTCCGGCCGCCCCACTTCCGGCCCTGCAAGGCCGGCGGCGGCGGCCGGGACCATTGGGGGTGGGGTGTGTGGCCTTATGACACACTTCCGGTGATGTCAGGGGGTGTGGCATATGCTAATGAGTTATGCTAATGAGTTCCCCTAGCTCTTTTTCTACGAAACGACCCCTGGTTCCCTCTAAGCTGAGTTAGTGTGAGCTAGCTCACAGTTTTTTCGCCTCCAGCTCACATATTTTTGTCCTAGCTCAGGAAGGATGGGCTCCAGAGCAAGCTAATTTATGCAGTAGTCAAATTGCTCGCTCACAACTTTAATGCCAGTCGCTCACAAAGGAGAACTTTTGCTCACAGGACTCTGCAGCTTAGAGGGAACATTGCCACCACCCCCCAATCTTGCAGGAAAATATAGGAGGTGGGGTTCAAATAAGAGCTCCCCCCTCCTCCATGGATAGCACACGTGCACTTCAGAAGGGAGCATACGGATGCTGGCCATGACTAGGGACACAGGGGCAGGAGGAGAGAAGGGCTTTAGTCGTGTTGGAGAAGGAAAGTCAGTTAACACCCTGAGTAGCAAATCAGGTCCTCCAACTGTTGCCTGGGGACAAAAGGGGGCCGAGTCCTGCATGACCCTCCAACATGGCCAGAGAGGGAAGGGAACAAAATGAACATGTTTCCCCCCATGGGCACATACTTGTAAAATTAAATAACTACTACCAGGGCTATTTTTGGGCAGGAACGCACAGGAACGGAGTTCCGCCTGGCTTCAGAGTTGGCCACACCCACTACAGCCAAAACCTGCATACATGGCTACAGAGGGAAGCCCTGGAGAGTGACCCCCCACCCGCAACTCTGAGGTGGGGGGGCCACCCCCCGCACCTCTGAGGTGGGTGGGCAAGGGGGGGCCAGCCAGTTCCTCTGGAGGGCCAGCAACAGGGCAGAGAGGCCGAGGCTTTCCCCTGAGAAGAACCTCAGAAGAGCCCTGCTGGGTCAGACCAGCGAGGGTCCCTCTAGCCCAGCATCCCGTCTCACACAGTGACCAGCCAGTTCCTTTGGAGGGCCAGCAACAGGGCAGAGAGGCTTTGGCCTTCCCCTGATAAGAACGTCAGAAGAGCCTTGCTGGATCGAACAGTGGTCCATCTTGTCCAGCCTCCCGTCTCACACAGGGGCCAGCCAGTTCCTCTGGAGGGCCAACAACAGGGCAGAGAGGCCGAGGCCTTCTCCTGATAGGAACCTCAGAAGAGCCCTGCTGGGTCAGAGGGAAGCCCTAGAGAGTGACCCCCCTCCGCAACTCTGAGGTGGGCGGGCCAGGGGGCCCCTGGAAGGATCAGGGAGGCATTTAAATGTCTCCCTATGCCTTCCCCGGCCTGTCCAAGGCCAGCTTGCCTAGGCTCCCTGCAGCCGCGGGGCGCCCGAGCACGCCAAGGGAAGGCATGGGGTGTGGCCTAATATGCTAATCAGCGGCGCTGCCAAGGGTGTGACCTAATATGCTAATGAGTTCCTGCTGGGCTTTTTCTACAAAAAAAAGCCCTGACTACTACCCTTCTCCTCCTGCTGATCGATTTTCCTTGGTGCTGGGGCTCCAGGCATGAACCTTGCCTCCAGCGACAGATGGACGTACGCCCCAGATAATGGAAGAATTCCTATGTCGTTACATGAAAACAGGCTTATTCCTTTCAAATGCTAATGACGACACACTTCTAAGTAGCAAAACTGAGCGGAGGTTGATTAAATACCCTTTCCCTTCCTTGTGTGGCCCAAGGCAAATTGAGGCTGCATGAGCCCCTAGCTTGCATCTTATGAACGGAACAAGAGACATGTGTCTTCATTTCTGAGCTTCACCGATGAATGGGGGTTTTGAACCCAGGCCTCAGTACAATACTCTAACCGCGACACCCGCTGGCTCCAGAGTTACCCCTCCCCGCTACGTGCTCAACAGCAGCAGGACTCGGCAGAGTTTTGGTCAATCGGTCAATCCTCCAAAAGTCCTTCCTGACCCTAAATGTGCCAATCAAAGACCCTGAGCGGAGCCAACTGCATGCGTCAAGAGCCAAGAGAATTTTTATCAGACACCTCTCCAGAATCCTCCCCCTGCCATTCCTCAGTTTACTTCCCAATGGGTACCCAGGCAGACCTGTAGCTATGGTGGAGCTATTCAGGGCTCCGCCCCCTTTCTTAAAGGGACAAGTTTCCCCTAGAAAACCCTTTTTCTGACATTTCTCGCACCCACTCAGTACATGTTGGCTGTCGAAGATAACATCCTCGCTACAGGCCTGTTGCCAGGTCTGGGTTGGTGAATACCTGGAGATTAGGGGGGTGGAGCCTGCGGAGGGTGGGGCTTGGGGAGGGGAGGGACCTCAGCAGGGTACCAGGCCTCCAAAGCAGCCCTTTTCTCCAGGGGAGCCTGTAACAATTCCTTGTTTTATGAGAGTGTGTGTGCCTTTAAATGCTTGGTTTGAGTGCATGGTTAGTAGACTAGACTGATTGAGAGAGACAAATGTGCTGTGATTGGTGGATGACAGAGTGTGGGAGGGTTTTTTGAAGTGAATCTGTGTGGGTGTGTCAGTGTGTCAGTTATGAGAGACAGTTAGGAAAAGCAGTTGGAATTGTTCAGTTGGAGAGTTAAGCCAGTGAGTGTTCAGTTAGTTCTGAGTGAGTTCTTAAAGAGGGCAGTATATACGTCCTTAGCCTGTGTGGCTGACTATAGGAAAGAGTTAATGTTGGAACTGAGTGTCAAAGCAAACAAAAAGGAAAAAAGACTGTGTGTGCGATACATTTGATAGACATATTTCTCAAGTCCCTTTATCCAAGATAGTTACAGAATAACCAACCTCACATTTTCTTCTTACTTCCATAAATCATCTTTTGTTCAAGTTTATCCCCGAATTTAGCTCTATCTTTCCTCAGGACCACATAGAGCCCCGAAAAGCCCCGTCACCTTATCAGCTAAAAAAACAGAGAGAAGGTTTGGAAATCCTTAAATTCCTGGTGGCGGCGGAAACTACCCCGTTTACAAAAGCAAAGAGCACATTTAAAGGGAAAACCAGGCCTCCCTAATAAGAGGACGCCACAGAGTCGATCTTGATTGTCTGGAGATTGACTGTAATAGCGGGAGATCTCCGGGTGCTCCCTGGAGATCGGCCATCCTACCGACGGACGCACTCCTGCTAAGACCTACATCGGCGATCGTGACTTCAGAACTTAGCCTGACCGCGAAATCCCCGTCTCGCTGCCTCTTCTGAACCAGATATGCCTACCACCCTTTGCAAACGATCAGGACCCTACAGGAGCGTAGAGGACGCCATATTTTTAGATTCTTCTCCTTATATTCTAAAGCCAGGGGTTAGAGGGGGTCGGGGGGGTTCTGATCAGTTTTCAGTCTTAGACCCATCAGGTTAGAACGAGAAATTTTGTAAAAATAAAATAAAAAAATATATATACACAAAGCAAGAGACTGACCATTTTGAAAAAAAAACAAGAAACCGAAAACTTAAAAACGAAAGCGAAAGGGTTATTTACCATTTTCACGACTGATGACTGAGGGAGGGGCATCGGTGAGATCGGGGGGGGGGAGAGAAGGAGGGAGGGGGAGAGAGGAGGTGAGTGCGACACATCACAGCAAAAAAGGAGGAAAAGGAGACGATTAAATGAAAAAGAAAAAGAAGACACCCAGCGTGTATTAAATTAAAAAAACAAACGGCATTAATGTGGGACGGAGAAAGGGGACGAGATCCAGAAACCCGAGGGCAAAGGGAGCCAGGTGGGTTGGCGGGGTGAAGAATCCATTATTGGTTTCAGAAAACCTCAGATTAATCCAGGTCTCACTGGGAAAAAGCTGTGAACAGAAAGAGGAATACGCGGAACGCTGGGGAGGCGGGGGCAAGGGAGGGAAGCCCCCCCGGGGATGGGGGGCACGGCACCGTGGAAAGTCCTAGTCCCTGAGACCCACTAAATTCTAGGGATCCCGATCACAGCTGGCCAGCTCACTAAACCTCCCTCCTTGCCTAAGGGTGTGAGGAGCACCCAGGGGTCCGGGCTCCCAGTCCTGTCCCTAGTCCCGCTCTGAGTCGACAGACCGCTCTGTTTCCAGAAGCAGAGGGAGGAACAAGAGTGGCCCGTAGCTAGGGTGGGGCTATTTGGGGCTCCGCCCCCTTTCTTAAAGGGACAGGCCCCCTTTCCTAGAACAATCTGTGATCCTTCCATCTGTTTTGTGTAAGTCCTCAGTGGGGAGAAAAGCCTTGCAGCCAGACCCCGGGTGGTGGTGGTGGTGGTTTACTTTTGAATAAGTCATTTCAGTCTTGGAAGACAGACATCCGGCTATCCTGTGGCTTGGGGAGGGTTTAAATACGCCGAGGAAAAAGGGGGCCGCCGATTGCTCTAAGATCGTTCTGTACAGTCGTGTACGGACAGAAAAATAATGGCAAAAATGGCGGCCCCCACCAGAAAACAGTTTGCCCCACAGGCTACAAAATCCTGGCTACGGGCCTGGAACAAGGCGCACTGGAGCTGAACTCGGGTTCCCAAAATTTGCCGTGCCACCTTTGGTGTCTTCCAGTGGCATCTTAAAGGAAG